AGTCATATGCACGCTGTTAGTCACACAAGCAAGATATAAAAGCAGGCACCCCATGCTGCCAAGTGATCCCAGGAGATGGCCGTTTAAGGCGAAATACACAATAGGCACAGTCATACATGCAAAGGCACAAAGGACACTTGGTACCGGCCAAAACTATCCACAGTTGGATGCACACATTTACAAAGGCAAAGGCCACAAATCAGAACTGAACTCACCAATGCCGTCATCTCTTTCTTTAACATCGCTTGGAACTTTGCCAGGGTGTCATATTCTTTCACCAGATTTGGCCAATCGTCAGCGTTGTTCCAGATCCTCCTCATCCAGTGCAATGTATTCCTCCTTCCTTACGTCCATTGCGTAAATAACCGAGGCAACATATATTCGACGATGGATTTGAGATGTTACAAAGACGGTCTGAGGACACTTTCTTCTGTGAAATAAAGGCAGAAAAGCGTCTCACAACCATGGACTGTTCAGCGAATATCACTTTCCTCGCCGGTGGCAGGCGGTACTTGGACTTCACCTCACAATCAGACAAGTTGTTTTGTTAAAAAAAACTAATCCCCATCGGAGGAAGTCTCCGTGTCACTCCCTGTTAGGAGGCCGGAGTCCATGATATTGAACTCCCACCCAACCTGTGAAAAAAATCGTCTTCAAGGAGTCTTTCTTCCAGGCGTCTTAGCGACGGTTCAGTTATTCTATATTTTCTGCTAATAGACTTGTACCCCACCATGTGTTCCCCCCGGTGCAGCACCAAATCTATGATAGCCGCGCACTGACGTGTTTTATAAGCAGCCCGGCGATTCCTATCCACTTGTTTGCGTTCCTGCCTGCGACGCTTGTGCCATTCTCCCCAAGGCTGGGGGGGGTTCTGTCTCTCGTGTTCTTCCTTTCGCAACCGTGCCCCTTCTGCCCCCCCCCAATGCGTTATTAATGTATCCGCTTACGGCGGCTAATCGGGCCTGGTCCTTGGGGGTGAGGTGGTCCTGTATGGGCCGCCACACCCCCGAGGGCAGGCCACCCAACCCCGCTTCTTGTTTTTCCTCTAATCTATCTGTTAGAGCTTCCCTATTGCGCTCAGCTTCCCAACCACATGCAGCTTCTATCCGCCGCCTGACTTTCACCTCTGCATGTCTCCTTCCCCCCTTCTTCTTGTGTCTGTGCCGGCGCTTTCGACCATCCTTGTAACGTTGGCCCCTGTTCAGGGGCCGCTTCCGACCTAACACAGGAACAAAATACAGTGTTTCCCCAGCTAGGTGATGGCAGGTACTGCCACATACTGGTGGTACCACCAAAGCAAAGACAATAAGTATTGTAGGGAAATGCAGCACGCCTTGTACAATGCACGGCCCCCTGAAAGGGACGAAGGGCTGAGGTTTCCCCAGCCAGGTGACGGCGGGTATTGCCAAATAATGGTGGTGGCACCTATGCAAAGAAAGACGATGGGTATTGCAGGGACAGTTCGTGCATGTTGTACATTGCACGGCTGCATGGAAGGAACGAACTACCAAGGTTTCCCCAGCCAGGTGACGGCGGGTACTGCCACAAAATGGTCATGCCACATAAGGAAAAACAAGCGATGGGTACTGCAGGGACATACAGCACACCCTGTACAATGCACGGCGAAATAAAGGGAGCAAACTGGGAAGGCTTCCCCAGGCAGTTGATGCCAGGTACTGCCACATATTGGTGGTGGCATCTAAGCAAAGAAAGGCGTTGGGTATTGCAGGACGTGCAACACACCCTGTACAATGCACGGCCACATAAAGGGAACAAATTGCTAAGGTTCCCCAGCCAGGGGACGATGGGTACTGCCACAAAATGGTGGTGACACGTAAGGAAAAAAAAGGCGATGGGTATTGCAGCGACACATAACGCACCCCGTACAGTGTGCAGCCAAATAAAAGTAACAAAGTGGTAAGATTTCCCCAGCCACGTGGTGGCGGGTACTGCCAAATAATGCTGGTGGCATCTAAGCAAAGACGATGGGTATTGCAGCGACAAGTGGTGCACCCTGTGGCACAGGGCCTGTGCAATGCATGGCCATATGGAAGGAACGAATTGCCAAGGTTTCCCCAGCCATGTGACGGCGGGTACTGCCACCAACCACAGCACACAGCCACAATAGGCGGCACTCAGGCTTGTTACACAGAAGTACACGTCCACCGCACCTACACGTCCATCGTGTTCAAGGTGCCCATGCCTGCTTTCCGTTTCAGCATTGGTAGCGCCTGAGGACTCTGCAAATACAGTAACACAGGTGGTGAGGGTCGCAGGCAAAATCCCAGAGTGAAGTCAATCCCCGGCCATGATCTTCCCACCCGGCCATGTGCCACCAGGTTTCTAAAGTCGACACATAATCCGCCCCTCCCCGGGGAGAATTTCCCAGTAAAACAGGCGACCCAAAGCAGAAGCCCACACTATGCCCACGTATCACTCGCCGGATTGAATCCGCCGACACCTAGGTTTTCAAAGTCCACAGATAATCCGAGAACCCCCCCTTTTCAACACCCCCTACAGCCCGGAATTCCCCGCCAGAGCAGGCAGTACTGAGGGCGTTGCCCTGGCCACAGGGCGCCGTGAAGCGGGACACCGCGGTATGCTTGTGCATCGCTCGGCGGCTTGAATCCGGCCGTGCATAGGTTTCCAATCCACAAGTAATTTGAGTTTCCCCAGCACCCCACTCGGCCCAGAATTTCCCGCCACAATAGGCGGTACTGAGGATATTGCTTTGGCCACAAAGCAGGATAGCGCGCTGTGCCTGTGCATCACCGGCGGATTGAATCCGGCCACACATATGTTTTCGGCCAACAGATCATCCGAGACCCCCCCCCCAACACCCCCCACGGCCCGGAATTTCCCGCCACAGCAGGCGATACTGAGGGCATTGCCCTGGCCACAAAGCAGGATAGCGCGCTATGCCTGTGCATCACCGGCGGATTGAATCCGGCCACACATAGGTTTTCGGCCAACAGATCATCCGAGACCCGCTCAACACCCCCCCCTGCCCCCAGAATTTCCCGCCACGGCAGGCGGTACTGAGGGTATTGCCCTGGCCACAAAGCAGGATAGCGCGCTATGCCTGTGCATCACCAGCGGATTGAATCCGGCCATACATAGGTTTTCGGCCAACAGATCATCCGAGACCCCCCCCCCCAACACCCCCCACGGCCCGGAATTTCCCGCCACAGCAGGCGGTACTGAGGGCATTGCCCTGGCCACAAAGCAGGATAGCGCGCTATGCCTGTGCATCACCGGCGGATTGAATCCGGCCACACACAGGTTTTCAGCCAACAGATCATCCGGTACACCCCCCCAACACCCCCCACGGCCCGGAATTTCCCGCCACAGCAGGCGGTACTGAGGGCATTGCCCTGGCCACAAAATAGGATAGCGCGCTATGCTGTGCATCACCGGCGGATTGAATCCGGCCACACACAAGTTTTCAGCCAACAGATCATCCGAGACCCCCCTTCCCCACGCGGCCCGGCATTTCCCGCCACTGCAGGCGGTACTAAGGGCATTCCCTTGCCTTGCCCATGCTGCGGCTTGAAGCAGGAGAGCGCGGTATGCCTCACCTGGTGGGTCCATGAACCAAGCGTGGGGCGGCAGGGGTTGGAGACGGCGGATGGCAACAGGAGGGCAACAAAATATGTGCGCAGTCACAGCCAAGGTCCGCTGTATGTGGACCCTGGCTGAGCCACGCTGGCAATCAACCAGATCCCCAGATTCGGAAATCAGTACTTATTGCATGGGCTCTGCTGTCATCCGCTGATTCGGTACACACGTCCGCTGTCATCCGCTAAATTAGCGGATGGGGTACGTGGCTTCCGGTCCGTAAGAGAATACCCGTTAACACCCAAGCGGAATCCGCAAAGTCTGCTAATTGGGGCTAGCCGTCCGCTGCCATCCGTACCACATCAGCAACAGAGAAGCGGGGTCCGCTAAATTAACGGATATTAACGGACGGCAAGCCCCGTCCGCTATTAACGGATCCGGGTGGCCACCTTTAGTGAAGCCACACAAAGGAGTCCCTTTTGGCCTGCGCTCAAAAGGTGCCGCTCGACCGCAACACGAAGCCGTAGGCGCTAGAGGGCCATGGCATTATGTACAGTCGGTGAATGCAAATATCGCCTATACACACAACGCATCGGTCGACAGTGCAGAGATTGTTGAAGTGGTTGCAGAAGGAAGAGCGCCATAGTTATGATGTTCCCATTCACCCCACCGCACCTTGCTTATGAAGCTCATCATGGAAAGAGTTGAGCAGCACAAACCACAACTTGGTGTTCATGGCCAGATGCTTCTGGCATGTGTGCCCACGCCTTTGAGCCGACATTCGTGTAGGGCGTTCCCTGCGCGATTGGTTGTCCAACAAGGAAACTGCTGATTGGCACCCGCAATTGCACGAGAAGAGGCGTGCCCCAATCCAGAAGCCGTTCAGACGCTGCCAGTAACCACGCTATTGCTTTTTTGCAACATTTTTGTTGTTCTGCATTTCCTTATGGAGCATCGTTTCATTGCTTTAGTGGCTCTGCACAAAAGGGTCGAGCATCGCGTCGTTCGCGGGAATGTTACTTACAATCAGCTAGTATGCTAAGGAATTGGCATCACCGTACAATGCATGGAAAAGACCCTCACAAAATCCTTGCCAGGAGGGCGGTCCCCCTGCGCACAACACCTTTTGAAGAAGCCATTCTTTCGCTGCCAACCGAAACAGCCCAACCACCCTCAGCCCACCTCAGGGCGAAATTCGCCCTCCCAGGCCGAACGTCCCAGAAAGGCAGAAAGGTGACTCACCCCACACCGTATGTGTGAGACAGGCGGCCCCCCATTACAAACGGAGCGCGGGGGCGCAGCCGCGTCAAACCCACCTCCCCCAAACCCGTAGTTCACACTGTGCTCGCGCAACCTCGTCCAGACCTCCCAGGCGACCCCGCCCAAGGCCACCGCCGCCCGCAGCACGGACAGCGTCCCCCAGGGGCGCTTGACAACGCGCGATGAGCGGCGGCTTTAGACCCCTGACCCTCGTCAGGCCGTTCCTGTCAATCTTGCCGGATGTCGCGCCCGCCGAGCGCCGCGTGCCCTTCAAAGAGAAGGCCGTCTACACCGCCGTTTCCCTGTTCATCTTCCTCGTGTGCTCCCAGCTGCCGCTGTACGGCATCAAGGCCAGCAGCGGCGCAGACCCGTTCTACTGGGCGCGCGTCATCATGGCGTCCAACCGGGGCACGTGCATGGAGCTGGGGATCAGCCCGATCGTCACCAGCGGCCTGGTGATGCAGCTGCTGGCGGGGTCGAAGATCATCGAGGTGGACAACACGTACAAGGCGGACAGGGAGCTCCTGTGAGTGGCGGAGGCGCTCCGGACGGGCTAGGGTTGGGAGGGAGTCTTGGCGAGGCAGGACGAGAGGGATGGGGGGGCTCAGGCTCGTGGCAACGCGCTCTTTAGGCGGCCGCCTCGTGGCGCCTCGGGCCATTGCCTGTCCGCTTCGCTCCTGCGCAAACCGCACCGGTGGTGGCGTCTTGCGGAGCAGCAGTTCGTCGCCTCCAAGGCACGGTGGCCACGAGGGTCAGGGCGCAGCGAAGTACGCTCATGGTATCACTTGGGCAGCACTTGGACTTCCCACAGTCCTGCGTCACTGATGATGGCGCAGCAGCGGATCTTTAGGCGGCGCTTCAGGCTCGAGGCGCGGGAGTCTGTTCCTCCTCGCGTCGCCTGGGGACTGATCTTGCTTTATTGCCGCCCTTCCCGAGGTAGTTCGGGAGGCAATATCGGCTGGGGTGGGGACAGGTGTCGCGCGGCACTTTAGGGGAGAGCAGAAGAGAAGGGGCAAACTGACAAGCGCGTCTGTGCGTGTGATCAGGAATGGCGCCCAGAAGCTGCTGGGGGTGCTCATCACCATCGGCGAGGCCGTGGCCTATGTCGTGTCCGGCATCTACGGGGACGTCCGCGAACTTGGCGCCACCAACGCGATCCTCATTATCCTGCAGGTGGGCCCCGTTTCGCACGTGGGCGCCATCCTCCTCCTCTCCGGGCGCCCCCCACCCCCCACCCCCCCTTCCCCTCGCTTACCTGGCCGCCGAAGCAGCCCCCGCTCTGTTACACCGTTGTTTGCCGAGTTTTTTGGCGCGGATCTTGGTCGTCGCTGCTACACGGGGTGGGAGAGATCTCCAACCCTTCCCCGCTTTGGGCGAAGAGGCGCCGGAGCGCGCTCCAGCACGCGCCCGACCCTGAAAGCCGTACGTGGCAGCGGCTGGTCGGAGGCTTGTGCCTCCTGGATCTTACTGCCCCTCTGCTCTGTGTGGAGTTGAATCGCCACAGATCTCCACAGCCTGGACATAAATCCTGCTTCCCTGTGGCCTGCTTTCCTACCCTGCTCATGGGCGCCGCACGGCCATCTTCACCACTGTGGCAAAGCGCCTCACAGACAGGTCGTCAGCCCCAGTTTCAAACAGTTCTTGAACTGTTCCTCTTTCAGGAAAATCACTCATGTCCTCCTGCTCTGCGTGCAGCTTTTCATTGCTGGCATCATCGTCATCTGTCTGGACGAGCTGCTCACCAAGGGCTACGGGCTGGGGTCTGGCATCTCACTCTTCATCGCAACCAACATTTGTGAAAACATCATCTGGAAGGCATTCAGCCCGTACACCCTCAACACTGCCGGTGTCCCAGAGTTTGAGGGTGCAGTGATCTCCCTGGTGCAGCTGATGATAACGCGGACAGACAAGGTCCGGGCCCTGAAGGAGGCCTTTTATAGGCCCAACCTGCCCAACATCACCAACCTGCTGGCCACTATTGCCATCTTCATGGTGGCTATATACTTCTCGGTGAGCCTTTCTTCAGAGGAGTCCAGGGTGGTGCACACCTTGTGGCTATCTGATCGCAGACCAGGGATGACAAGGTTTGCCATACGTTGCTTGACATATAGTGCTTGTTCCAGCAAACCCTCACAGTGCAGCACTTGAGGCGTCTGATGATCATATTGTGAACCATCTCAACAGCTGCTGTCCACTGGTGCTGAAGAGGATATCCTTGCTTTTGGTCTTCAGCATTGACTGGCATATGCAGCATTTATGGCAAGTTGCGCTCCTTGAGCCTTTCAACTGGAGTTCATGTTCATGGTTGCTATGGCCTTTGGTGTGTATGAAGCTGAATTGGGTAGTATTGTGCTTTGGACGGTTGCAGTTGACAGATACTATCCAGGTCAGCAGCCATTGACATGCGTTTTGTGCTTGCCCTGCTTGAGATCTTGTTGGTGTTGTTGATTATTCCAAATGTAGCATCAAAAATTGAAGAGCCCCAGCCCAACTGCCGTATTGTTGTTGTGGTGGTTGTTGTTGCTACAGGGAGCTGCAACACTAAGATAGTCCCAAATGCAACATGTCCTGTGCACAGATTCCAGCTGAAAGATATGCCCATTGTTCATGCCTGGATGGGTTCATTCGGACCTGGACTTCAGGCTGGAGTAGCTACCCACTGCACATTTAGTTGCATCATGTTCAAAGGTGTGTGCATTCTCACCTGATCAGCCACCTCAGACATCATGTTTGTGTGTGCTGGACCCCAGGGCTTCAAAGTCGACCTGCCAGTTCGGAGCAAGCGCACGCGTGGCCAGCAGAGCAGCTACTCCATCAAGCTCTTCTACACGTCCAACATGCCCATCATCTTGCAGTCTGCCCTTGTGTCCAACCTGTACTTCTTCTCTCAGCTGCTCTACAGGAGGTTTAGCAACAACTTCTTGGTTGCCTTGTTCGGCCGTTGGCAGGTGAGCTGTTGTCACTCCTGTGAAGTCATGTTGTCCCCATTTGTCAGACAGATGACAAAGTGCAGCACCTATACAAGTGCCACCAGGGAGGAGGAACTGTGTTATAGGATGACCTTTCTGGCACTGTTCTTTCTGGTTGGGGGCTTCTGTGGGTCAAAGCTATGTAAAGCCCAGTCCTTGGTAGTGCATAAATGTTGACTAGATGCTGACACTGGCACCCTTCTAGTACATGAAATTGGAGTTGGGGTTCGGTTTCTTTGCAATTGCAGTGTCTTGAGGCTGCTTCAAGCACAATATCGCCCACTGTTCGCTGCAGCACCCTCGGGTTTGTGCAGTTGGTGCTGGCTATTGTTTCATTGCTGTTGTATTTTGCTGAGCAACCCTGACACAGCCTTGTCCATGCTGGCGTGATTTCTCACCATGTGTGGCAAGTGAGCAGGTATCCGAGATTCAGGGATTGCATTCAGGCATGCTTGCCATTGTTCCCAACATCAACAATGTAATTTGGCATCACTATTCGCGCTGCCATACACAGTTTGTTTCTCACAAATTTTCTGTTGGTTTGTTAGTGCCAGACTTCAATACATTTTCTTGTGTGAGTGGCAGGAGTCAAAGTATGGCACTGGGCAGATGATTCCTGTTGGCGGCCTGGTGTACTACATCTCTCCTCCGGGCAGCTTTGCAGAGGCAGCCAGCAACCCGCTGCACACGCTGTTCTATATCACTTTCATGTTGTCCGCCTGTGCCCTCTTCTCGAAGACATGGATCGAGGTGTCTGGGTCTTCTGCATCTGATGTTGCCAAGCAGCTCAAAGAGCAGCAGATGTTCTTCATGGTGAGCCCCATAGCTGTGAAGTGCAATTCAAGGGCAATTATTTGCTGGAAGGGTGCTTGGGCTGCTCAGAGCTGGCATTGATGCTGCCAGGTCATGAGTGAAAGTTGGAGACTGGGCACTGAGCATAGTGGTTTGTGTGCCCTGAACCCCACGCTTCTGTGCTGGCCTGAGATCTTGCAGCGTGCAGCAGATGCTGCAGCACTGGCACCAGCTGGTCATGGCAAGCCAAGTGGTTCGGCCACGCCACCTGCTCTCCCTCCCAGCAAACGTCGTTGCTCTACTGTTCATTTGTGGTTGCATCGCTGCTGCAGTAATTGGTCGATTGTTGGTGTCTGATTGGTCGATTGTTTCAGTGTGATTGATGGAGTGCTTGTTCCGCTGAACGCTAGTTGCTGTGTGCCAGGGCCACCGTGACACACACCAGGCCCTCAAGAAAGAGCTGAACCGGTACATCCCCATCGCCGCTGCCTTTGGTGGGATGTGCATCGGCGCCCTCACCATTGTTGCGGACTTCATGGGTGCCATCGGCTCGGGGACTGGCATCCTGCTGGCAGTCACCATCATCTATCAGTATTTTGAGACATATGAGAAAGAGATGAAAGAACAGCGAGGCGGGGTGTACTGAAGGCCCTTGCAGCAGTGGCGGAGGGCGAAGTGTGCCTTAAATGCGATGGAGCGAGGCGACAGAATGTGGCTTGAGAGAGCAGAGATCAAATTGTGCTTCCAATTGGATGGACTAAGAGGGCAAAGTATTGGAGAGCAAGGGGCTTTTATCTGCCTTAAGTATGACATGCTGGTGTGGTGGAATGTGGGGCGAACCTCCAGTATGACAGATTGGGGCAGCAGAATGTGGGTGCAGCAGAAAGCCAGAAACGTTGAAGTGTGGCCCATGTGAAACAGGCTGCCTTCACATACCTTGGGAAGGGGAAGATAAATCCTGTGTGCTGCTCCTGCGTTCCAATTGCGGAGTGCGCTGGTCGGCCTGACTGTGGGCTGCGAGTAGTAGCCAGCATGATGATGCAGTGATTCATTCCATTCTTTTCAGTTTCTCAGAGCAGGCTTTGCAGCTGCCCTGTTGAGCTTGCTCTGGCCTGCCCTTTCTCACTGCGTTTCATAAGTGGGCACATAGAGCAGGTGAGCGCAGCTCACTTTGAGCTGAATTCAGCACAGTGATCTTGTCAGTTGGGTAGGGATCGGATGTAGCGTATGCAGCAGATATTCTCGCGAAGACGGAGGCTTGGTGACGTTCGCCTTGGGAGGTGCAGACAGGTCATGGATTATCTTGGGATTCGTGACTTCCGTAGCGTACCTGAACTGCTGCAGAGTTGTCTTTTATCCACATATGTGTTGAAGAAGTTGACGTTGCCCCCATATTGCAGGCGACACGTGTCAACACTTGTTAAAATTGACAAACGAGTCTCTGCTGCTGCTGGTCAAAGGCGCCCAAACAGTTTTCGCAGGCGATGCTGTACCTCACCGCACCTTGTGCTGTCTGTGTGGCAACATGCCCAAAATTTCTCATTGGCAGCGTCACCCGCAACTCACACCTCCACACCACTTCTCCCACTTCCCAAGAGGCCTCACATCACACGCCGTGAGGCATCACTCCGTCGATCACCAAACCCCCTTGTCATGGTGCGAACTCCGCTTCGTTTCGCATGCCATGGAGCAGCTGCGTGTGACGTGGCCTTTCCGTGCGCAAGTTTGGCTGGCAACGCGCCAAAAATGTCTGCCCTCGCCTCGTTCCCCCCCCCCTCTGATCCCTTGCACGCGCGTCCCATGGCAGGGTCGCCTTTTGGTATGGCGACAAAGGGCATCAGGAGCTGGGCTTCGGGCGATCAGGGGCTGTAGGATATCGGGGCACAGGCACACGGGTCGCAATCGCACACGCGAGTGGCGTGCTGTCTGCATCCAGCCGCAGCCGCGCTGGCAGCCATGGACGAATTCGTCGACCTGACCGTGACGCACGCGCAAGACGGCGGGGATGCGACACGTAATGGCGCCTCGGCGGATTGCGAACGGGAGCTTCAGGCCGTGGAGGAGGAGCTGAGGAAGGTGGGGAGAGGACGATTTCTTGAACGGCGGAATGGAGCCCTGGAGGTGCTCCGCGACAAAGATTGCCACGGTTGACGGGAAGGGGGCAATTGCACCAGACTCCACGCATGTGTCTTTGGCGATCGCCGCATCATGTCACACCGCAGGATAGAGTCCCAGGCACTGTATTCCGGAAGGGGAATGAAATAATGTGCCCTGATGGGCAACCTCAAAACAACACACCGTTAATGGCACGTGTCTCCTCGTAACTCAGATTATCAATCAGCGTCTTATGCTGGTGGCCGACAAGGACCTCAACATGCTTGTCTAAAATGCACCTCAGCCCCATTTCAATCAATTCACACTGGGAGCCTGTTCTGTCCATGGTTTGAAGATCGCCTTTCAACACACTGGAAAATTGGTCGCATAATGGGCACCACTGCCTGGGCAAGAAACTACGAGCTGCCTGTTGAGCTGTGTGAGAAGGTGATGCCTGTGTCTCTCACTGCAAAAGGAATGGCATGCAACACAGAATCCAACACAGACAGCTTCGAATCAGGGTCCTTCACCTTCGAATTAGTGGCCGATCTTTGACCAATGGATGCCTAGTGTTTCTGCGATTGAGTCACTAGTGCTCTGGGTAGTATGCTGGGATCCTGGACTTGCTTGATAGTTTGTACTGAATCGCCCTCTGAACCCAATTTCTGAAAGTGACCCAACATACCCCTCAAGTCTATGAACATGTTCTGGCATGCCTTTGTACCACTGCACAATGGGCCAGCCAGCGTTGCTCTAACCATAATGGCTGGAAGCGCAATAATGGCAAACCCTACAAGAAAAGAAGAGGCTGTGGATTGCAAAAGAATGCTCAACTTCCAGAATGGTCTTTTTTTTGGATTCCAGTGCATTCTGGCAGATGTATTGTCACAGAGACACAAAGTGTGACAAAGCATAGCATCCTTGTTGAAATGCCAGCTCAAGGGCCATGACCTTGCACAGTTGTTGATACTGCTGTCGCATGGAGCTTTGAATTGCAGAAAGATGCAAACATTGTTCAATCAGTCAGCATTTCTGTCACACAGCACTTCAAAATCAAAGTCATGGGGCATGTCCAGTTTGTGTATTGTCAAAACAACTACAATCTGATGTCCATCTTGTGTTGGGTTTCTGGGTGCTGCTCTCATCTTGCCTTCTACACTTGTTTCTGGTTTTGAGCTCTTTAGGAGCTTTCTGCTCCTGATGGACAAGAGAAATAGGAGTCTCACTGCTATGCTCAGCCAAGTTTGCATTGGTTAACAGCTTTCAAGAGTTCAAGCACAAAGCCAGAACCGTTGGGCAGTGGCGAGCAAAGTCGACCACAGCAATTGTTGGCCCCAAAATGTTGATGACCTAAATGTCATAGGCACTGCCAAACAAGGCAGCGATGCAATATGAAACACTTGGATGATCAATGTGATAAATGCAAACTTTGTTGTGTCCAACTCACAAACCATCTACATTTGCTGGTCTAAGTGCAGTTGACAACCATGCACAGGTCAACAAGCAAATTGAAGCACTGCTCAACAGACAAAGTAGGCTACAGGAGCAGAGAGAAAGCTTGCAGAGGAGGGTGGATGTTGAGAGGCGTGCCCCAAGAAGGGAATGGAAGGGTGCCTTTGACTGGGACGAGGATGTGATGCGAGTTCTGAAAAATGTTTTTGGGATCCAGAACTTTAGGTATGGTTTGTGCACACACGTGTTGGAACTGATACAAATTATGCTCTCTTTGCATCCATGGGCTGTTAGCAAAGAGGCTATGCATAACAATTCGGGAAACTTCTGGGGCGTTCTGCAACATTTTACAGCCATAGAATCCACCAGATTTCGCATATGTTCAAATGTGTGCCAAGACTTGCCAAAGTAACGGATTGCACCTAATGAACTTTACATGCCAAAGTAACCGCATGCGCCCAATGAGCTTTGAGTGCTAAGCTGTCTCTGGAAAATGAAAAAGGCAATCCAAGCACATGAAATACCAGTATGATGATAATTGCATGTTCTGTTTTCGCTTGATTTGTGCATACAAGAACCATGCAGAGACCATGGACATGACTGCTTGCACATGAAGAAACAGGTAGCCAGTATGAAAGCAACAGAGTGAAAAAGGGGAAAGAGGAGGTGGGGGCACAGCGCATGATTGCAAGAAAATGAGCAGGGTTTTGTAATAGATTATTAAGCAACAATTTTCTTGGTGAGCATGACACACTGACTCCCTGGAAGGCATCACAGTGTTGCATGTTTAAATCCCAGAACTTCAATGACGCTGCCAAACCATGAACATAACATCGCCAGATTTCATCTCCCGTTGCACTGGCCCTCTGCATCGGAGCAGCTGCACCTCAGATTTGTGTTCAGCTTGCTTTCTTGTTAGCAGTCACTTGCATGGGCGTAGCACATCCTGCATCGTCTCAGGGTGCAAGGGCTCTGTTTTGTGCAGTAGCAACAATTGTTGGCAAAGGAACTCGATGCAACCTGCAATAATAGATATTTCTGCATGGCATTTGATCCCCAGCCATGGCAGTTGCAGTGTTGGCTGCAGTGTCATGTGCACATATCTCCAGCTTCAAATGTTGAATATACCATGCGTAACAATGGCAGTGTGTGCAAACAGATGGTAACTGGATAAGAACAAGTAAGGAGCAAACATAAGGCTAGAACTTACAAGGGTTGCACGAGCAGCGTTTCTCAGCATCGCCAGAGCTTTGGTTGAACAAGAGAAATCCAATCTACAGTGCAAGAAACCTCCATCCCCCTTAACAAGGCCTTGCAGGTAACCAGTGGAGAGCAGAAGATGTCCTTGTGGAAATACAAATGTCATTCAGGGATATAGAAGCTCTCCCTTACTCATCCACCTTCCTCAGATTAACTCTGCACCTTTTGTTGTTCCCCTGTATCCTTGTTCTACAGACTAATGCTCCATTTTCCTCTCCCGGGCCACCCAGGCCACTGCAGCAGGAAGTCATCAACACCACACTGCATGGCCGAGACGTCCTATGTCTGATGCCCAGCGGAGGGGGCAAGAGTCTGTGCTACCAGCTGCCTGCAGCAATCTCGAACGGGGTGACCCTTGTGGTGAGCCCCTTGCTGTCCCTGATCACAGACCAAGTCATGGGCCTGAAGGCTGTGGGCATACAGGCCCTCGCGCTGATGAGCTTGCTGTCAAGGGAGGAGACAACACAGGCCTACAGGCAGGTCAATGCTCCACGTTCAGCTATTTTTTAAGAAGCGAAGTTGCAGTGTGCTGCATGTCGATGGCAGGCGACATTCCATCCATCCATTGTGCTTTTCCCACAGAGTTAGTGTTGACAAATGTCTACGCCGAGTGGTGTCTTGCTCTGAGATACACTGCATGCTGCTTCAGGGGCACAGAATTGAAGGAAAGTAAGAAAAACGGAAAGATTGCTCCAGCATCGTCCATATAATCTGCCTGTGAAAAAATGGGGGACTCGTGGAACTGAAACATGACAACGGCATGGTATTGGCATGACTTCATTCAGGACGGTTTTTCCAGAGCATTTGGTGGCTACTGTGTCATCCTCACATTTTTCCGCTATGTTTGTACAGGGCGGTAGATAACCCAAGCACTGGGGTCAAGATGCTGTACTCCACACCAGAGATGGTTATCAAGGCAAAGCGCCTGATGTCGAAATTGGAGAAGCTGCACAAGGTACAAACTGACTGACCATTCTGACTGTATAAACACTGCTGAGCTCCACCATGCTGCACAGCTCCACCGTACCACTGCACTTTGCTGCAATGTTGCAATCTGCAATGACTAACTGCCACAGCCCTGTCACTTGTTGGGTAAGTTTGGGACACTGTTCAAAGATACCAAGTGTGTTCTCAGGTATTTTGGCTACAAACAGGTACATGTCTGAAAGAGTGAGGGTAACCAAATTTCCTGGCCAAATGAATGAGATGTACACTGAAAAGAACATTTCACAGTGTTATGGCTGCTAGGAGAGGGTGGCAGCAGTGACTGTGCACTATACTGTGCTGTACTTTGCTGCACTGCTATGCTGTAGACCTGTACATTGCTGGAATATGCCATACGATGGGTTACTGCTGCACTGATCCAGGAGCTTGTTTTCCTGAAGAGATGCTTTCTGTGTTGCGAACAAAGAACAGGCTGGGAGGCTGGATCGCATCGCCATCGATGAGGCCCACTGCTGCAGCCAGTGGGGGCACGATTTTCGTCCTGATTACAAAAAGCTGGGCATCCTCAAGCGTCAGTTTCCAGATGTCCCCATCATCGCTCTCACCGCCACAGCCACACAGCGCGTCTGCAGGGACGTCACTGAGATACTGTCAATCGACTGCTGTGAGGTCTTCAAGAACAGCGTGAACCGACCAAACCTATTTTACAAGGTGGGCATAGCTTTGGCCAGAACACTTGATGTCTGCGTGCGCATGAACATCGAAAATGGGGCCCAATCACTCTGTGATTTCTGGTAGTGCCTTGCAACATTAGAGCCTCGTTCCTTCTCTTGTGCCCTTGTTTCACACTCTGCTTGCTTTCTTCAACTGTGAGAGCATTGGGTCAATACTGGGTACCGATGCAGGACAGTGAGGGAATGTGGTGCCCATGCGCTGTCAGCGATACTGAGCATCTGCAGTGTGGTGCAACGCCCCACTTAAAATACACTCTTGGGTCAATGACATGACAAATGACCTAACTTTGTGTGGCCCCAGTAAATGTAATATCGGCTCAAAGCGCCCCATGGTTGTGGTGCTCTTCAGCTCGAGAACCACCTAATCAATGGTAAACTTACTTTATTGAAATTGTGTTTGTAAATGGTGCTGATTGCATGTTGTGACCCCCACCCCATCCCACCCACCACCACCATCACCATGACAGGTCTGTCCCAAGCCCCACAACGATGCCCATGTTGTGAAGGAGATCGCGGAGTGGGTGCAGCAAAATTATCCAGCGGGTTCATCTGGCATCGTGTACTGCCTGACAAGGAAGGACTGTGAGCAGGTGAAGATTGCCTTTCAACAGAAAGGAAAGCACAGCGCACACTTGAGAGTCCCTCCAGGGCCATGAATCTGTGAGATACTTACACTTTGAAAGATGAGTTGATTTTGATGATGCTGAGTTGAACTAACATTTCATGTAGAGCGAACATGGAGTCCCATCACTCATGTCACCATCAGCTCAAGGCACCACAAACTATGTAAAGCAGAAACGGCTGCGTATGGGGCGTCTGCCTCTTTGTGTCAACGAATTTTGAGGATGGAGACCTGTAGAAGTGTGACATGAAGTTCCTGCCAGGAACAGGCAATTGGGTCAATTTAGGCCAAACCTTGTCAACCTTGATACCATGAAGATTGTCTCCTGATGGGAGGAGAAATCGTGCCACAACGATTACGACCCCTACCAAGATCAAATTGTTCTCTTACCGAAAAAAGGTTGCACTCAGGTGGCAACAGACCTGAAGAAGCTGGGCCTGACAGCAGAGCACTACCATGCCAACATGGAGCCATACGAGAGGGAGCAGGTGCACATGGGATGGAGCAGGGGCACAACACAGGTGAGTTTCCATTGCCCCCTCGCTGCTTCCCTCCGGGCTCATATGTCAGGGGGCAGCCGCATGCTGTGCTTGAAAAGTCAATCACACAGACTTGCTTCATTTGCTTCTTCTCTCATTACTTTAGCTTTGTGTTATATTTTTATTTATTCTCAAAGTTCTTTTAGGAAACAAGGTGGTTCTGAATTTGCCAGTGAGCTGCACATTTTTATTGAATCGAAGAGCAAACGAGTTGAGCCTGTGGGAAGTTGGATTGAAGCTAGATTCCTGCAGGTCATCGTGGCAACTATTGCCTTTGGCATGGGCATAAACAAACCCGATGTGCGTTTTGTCATCCACCACACGCTTTCGAAGTCTATCGAAAATTACTATCAGGAGTCAGGGCGGGCAGGCAGGGATGGCCAGCCCGCAAGCTGCCTGCTGTATTACCGCTTTGCGGATGCTATGAGACAAGCCACGATGACATGCATGGAGCACGGATGGGAAAAGAACCTTGGGGCCATGATGTACTATGCAGCCGCCGAAGGGAAATGCCGCAGGGCTGTGTTGCAAGGGTAGGTCAACGTGCTGTACCAACCGTGAGGGAAGACAATCGTAGCAGTCAAACAAACTACAAATTGCCAAACAGCAACCAGCGACGGAGCTACAAATGTGGTGACAATGTAGATAACGAATCTGCTGTTCCCAGCGAATTCCTGCAGTGTGGATGCAGGAGCACAATGCCAAGCGAGACCTGTTGAATTAGAAGAGTTGCAATCAAGCGATTCTGCCTCCAAAGGATGTGAGATGAAGACAAAGAACCTTGAAACAAACCTGATTTTGAAAATATAGTGTTGCGTTCGCTCAAGCTTCCAACATTGAAATCCACTGGCCTAGCCACAAAACATCCGACTGCCAATGCACCAAAGAACATTCTTATGCAGAAACCTCAACACTAACACAAACATGTAGAATAAGCCATTCTGTACAATGATAACTTGTTGAGTATCTTGATGGAATTGCAAACTGGATTGTTGTGATACACTTGCAATGCAGCTGAGAGAAGAAGTTTGGAGTTATGTACTGTGCTACAACAAAGATGAATGCCTAGGAAGCATGCCTTTTGGACAGGCAAACGAGATGTGTGCAATTAGTTGTCAATGCGCTTTACGAGTACAGCGTGCTTGCTCTTGGAGTCTAAAGTATCTGCGTATCATGGATACGTATACATGGATGCAACTGGATGTTTGTAGATATTTGTTACAGGAAGACAAAGGCCCCAAACCTTCAAGGGCAAACTGAAGCCCCAAAGTAACTGCCAGTTTGAGGCACCTGCCACAATGTGCAGAATGGAGAAACCAGCGAAGCTCCAGTGCTGACCTCAAAGTAACAAATATTGCTGCATATTTCCCATTTGTATCCTGGGTAGAAGTTTTGGACAGAATCCCCTACACATGCAACTACAAGTGCTCAAATTTCAGCGAACCTCCAATTTCAGCGAACCTTCAGTGCAATGAATTTGGTGTGGAGACAATCATGGCTTCAGACTTGCGGCAGAGGCAGTGTGATGTACACAGGAGTGTTGTGCACAAGTTTTGGTGAACAGTATGTGGGGTGTTTCATGGTCCGAAACCCGCACTAAGGTTGTGAGGTGTTAACCCATTGCTGGGAACAATTCACAAAGAAGCACTCCATCTGCAGGACAGAAAATCCTGTAGAGATACACCCATGTCCCCATATTATTGTCTCCACTGCATGCAATCATCTTCTTACCCTGTGGTTGTGTTCTTCAGGACAGACATGTTTGGTGATGAAGGTTTTGCTTTCTCTTTTGCAGGCATTTTGGTGAAGCCCCCTCACCGTGTGGCGGCATGTGTGACTATTGCCAGGGTGGCATGGAAGCTGCTGGGATGGACCGGCTGGATGTCACAAAACATGCACAAGGCGTGGTTGAGATCTTGAACAATGCTGTGGACAGACAGCTCACATTGCTGCAGGTCATCGAGCTGTTGAAACCCAGCAAGGTGCGATGTGCCGCTCTTTTTCGATTTCAAATCCACAGAAATGAAAAGCAGGGTCCTGACACCTTCAAGGAGATATTAGCCAAATTGTGGCTCATTGACAAAAACAGACTTGAAATCGAGATCAACTGAGCTTCAAGCTGCTGATTTTCTGTGTTTGCCCACATTTCCATCGTTTAAGCAATGGCAGTCCTCAGAACGAATAAATCCACCAACATAGTACGTGGGCCAATGTGTGACTCACTGGGACTCACTGCAAACTATGCACGTAGGCTACTTTGCACAATGCGGCTATGTTGCAAGCTGCTTAGAACCCTCATCAGTGTTTGACAGTGGAATGAGTTGTTTCACTCATACAGAGGGCTGAAATTCGCTTGGCAAACCAAAGTAGGGGCACTGCGTGCCATGGTGCCATTGTCCAACTGCAGTGCATGGGGTCTGACTGCCGGCCATCAGGCAGCCTTAAAAAATTTGAAATGATTCAAACCAAGTCTTTCTGGCAACATGGCGACGTGTGATGCCCTGGCACCGCCAAATAGTATAAGGGGCCATTGCATGGTCACATTTTGTTGAGTGTAGTGAATTGGAGCCTATATAGTTGAGCAGTTTGATCCTGAGCTAGAAAATGGGTTTGGCATAGATGCTGTGAAACTTGAGTAGGGTGCTGTTGCATACGAGAAGGAATGGGGTGACGTTGTGTTCCCCAAATTGTGTTTCTTATCAGTAGAATGGAATGGACTCCAAACTCTGTTAATAATCTCAAATTCAGTTGAGCAGCCAAGGAAGTGTGATATTGGGGTGCTTGGTTGTGACTGTGCACAGTGTCTTTGCAGTCCGCAGGAGCCGATGGAAGAACGCTTAGCAGGGAGACCAAGGAGCGTATCATCGCGCAGATGGTGTACGAACAATACCTTGTGTTCGACTTTAAACACACACCCTACAGCACCAACTGCTATCTGAAGTGCTCACGTTCGATTGGGCGCTTGGAGCATGGAGGCGCAAAGGTGTAGTTGCTGTGCATCACACCACAGGTGTGATGTCTTGTTGGTGAAGATTGCAAGCGACGTGGAGCAAATCTCAGGAGCGCACTTGTGCTAATGACCTTGAATACAGTAGTATATTATACCCTTCCCATCATATTGTAATGTTTGGCATTTTTTACGCGGAGCAATAGCAACGACATAATGGTGCCAAGAAAATGTGGAGCAGCCCCAGCCACAACGTGAGGGTCTTTGGACTGCTCGCGGGGCTTAGTGGCCCCAGGTGCACGAGTCGCTGCAGCAGAAATCCAGCATTTGAGGCCATGCAAACTGAGTGGAGTCGCCATTCCCGCTGTGACTGTGATGCAGAGCCCCCAAAAGAATGGTCTGTCGAAGACATGTGCAGCAACAATCGTAACATTAACATTCAAATCGTGGAATTGTTGAATATTCTACAGTGCCTGCTGGGTGAATTCGCTGGACAGCAGCCGATGTTCACCGTTTGCATCATTTGTGATCTGATGGATATGTTTGCAGTTTGCAATAACTCTACCTTTGACAGCCAAATACATTGCAGCGCAGATAACCTGGGGACGTCCGCAATGTGGACTGCACCTGCCAGGTTTCCCACACCTCTAGTGCTGGTCCGTGGTTTGTGTGTGTCCATTGCAAAACGTGCCCAAGCACCATCAAGCCGATAGAGAGCATCCTACTGAGCATACTTCTGCTTTGAATACATTTGCCCGAAACAACAACATACTACCCTGGCACACAAAATGTGGCAGCAGACACAATTTCCAACTTCAGAATTGTCCCAAATGCCCTTTCCAGCATATCTGTCTCAAACCAAAGTGAAGTTTTCAACACTACATAATCCTTTCATCCCAGCGTATTGTTTGAGGGCCAGGTGCTTTGCTGGGTGATGGCAGTCATCCAAGTGTCCTGCATAGACAGCTGTCTTTTCGAATGGTAAGCAGCTCCACACTGTATGGGACAAGTTGGTTCCACTCCACTGTTGCAATGGCATCGCCTTACTCCTGTGACTGCATATGTCAAAATTGGTGAGCACCGCCATTACACGTTCCAGCGATGATGTGCCATTTTCGTCACCACTGAGTTTTTGTTCCCATTCTATGTAAATGGTATCCATCTCAAAACCAGGAACAAAGCCTCCAATGCCAAGACATCCTCTCAAGACATTGACATCTCAAAAATCGTCTTTTCAACAGAAAGCACGCATTGCAGATCTGTGACGTCTCAGATATTCGCCTGTGCCACCTTTGCAAGGCTAGACAACCCCCATATCAGAAGCCCAAATAAAACTTTCAGCTCCAAAAAAATGTCTCTGTGTTGCATCAGGTCTTCATCAATGCAGCCATTACGTCACCAGAGCAGCCCTCCAGGCGGCGCAGCACGGCACAAAAGCGCAAGGATCCACTTGTGGAGGAGTTGATGGCACTTAGATCGGATCTGGCCTCCAAAGACGATATTTTCCCCCATGCGGTGCTGACTACAGATCACGTTCACAACCTTGTGCTGAACATGCCGCCTACCATTGCTGACCTGGCACTCGTGATCGGGGAGCGAAAGGCAGATCACTACGGGTGCCAGATATTGGAGGTGCTGGGGCGTGATAGGAGTGGAGAGTCTGCAAAAAAGACCCCAAAGAAATCGAGGTTGAGGCTTGAGAAGACTCCTGGACGGTCGCCATCATCGCTTCCAGCAAGCATTCGGGACTGGCCAGAGAGCTGAGGCTGTTGTTGCTTTTTGTCTTATTTTGAATTTCGCGTCGCTTTCAAGGAATCAAACTACACTCGTGTCCTCAGCGAGGGGACACAGCACACTTGTCTGGCATGACAAGGCAGTGAGATGCAGTGTCCAGGAAAGCATAGGTTGCAGGATGAAGAGTGCAGGAACTCTAAAGCAGAGAAACTCAATACTTTTGGAGGCAGTTTGCAGCTGCGAAATTGTTCTTTACTGGCACTTCCAGCACTTCTATTTAGGAATAGGCGTCATTCACAAGGAAGTCAAATTTGTGCGCAGGAGTTCTCTGTCGTTTGGTGGGGCGCTTTCTGTGAATGGCGGCTGTGTAGATAGACAAACTGAAGGTGTGGCAGTTAAAAGCTTTTGCACCTTGTGATCCAGAATTGCTTTGTTCACTCGTGTGAACGCGTGTCCAGGTACAAGTGAGTTGATGTACAAACAAATGCTGGAACAAAGCTTGTCGCAACTAGCTTTCAAGAACAAGAATGTTCGCCTTCGATGGCCACCTCTTCATTACAAAGAAGCAGCAATGCTGGGCTTTCAATGAATACAATCGTGTTTAATCTTGTTTGACGAACATTTCTGTTGAAATTCGATAATTGTTCAGTATACAGTACTTGGACTGGAATTCATTTTGTATTTTGGTGGCAAGCTTGCTGTGACGCGACACAATGCATTGCCCACAAGGTAGACATCTTGGTTGGTCGGTCCGTGAGCCCTTCAGATGACCAGCTGTCGACACTGCAAGTTCTCTGCACAGCTGGCAACCAATCGGCAATGGGAGTAGTTTAGGTCAGGACTCAAGGTGCACGAACTCTTGCAGCGATTGAAGTGGTGCCCAGAATGAGGATGTTGAGACTTTGAACAAACTGGGCGTTTCCAGGGCAGTCATCGCTTGCAAAGGTGCAATGGCTGTGTAATGGGAAGTGGGTGAAAGGGCTTGGCTTGTCATCGTCAAGAATCTTACGCATCCAGGGTGGGAAGGTTGCCCAAAGGCTTCCTATTTCGCCTCAGAGAAGCAGTGTCGATTATTCATTCATGAGAACAAAGGTCTTGCATCGATTTAACCAATCACTGAGTGGCCATGCTTCAAAACTCAGAAATTCACAAAATTGGGGTAACGTCTTGTCATGCTTTTTCTCTGGCACCTGCAACCAAGGCTTTGCCAGTTGATGAGTTCTCCAATCATTGCTCGACCTTATCATCACGAAATTCACATAACAGGGCGATCATTTCCTGACAGCTTCCCGACACATGACCAGTGTGTCGATCTTTTACGTTGGCATGTTGATAGCGCAGTGATGCGTGCGTAGGGATGGCAACGCGAGGAGGGCAAGGACAGATGCTGGGCGGGTCTTACAGAAGGGCAAAGGGCCAAAGGCCTTCACGTCACACATATACCCAGGGTACTGTCAGTGTCCCCAGACAGGAATATATCATAATAGCGCAAACGGTTTGCATTCGTTCATTCATTCACAACTTCCCGGCAGCGACCAGAATGAGCAAGAAATGACGGCAACATCAAGCACGCGCCTGTCACCGAAAACGCGCCCGAGCCCCAGCCATTCGGATGTGGCCGGGCCCGCGCCGCGCCTGCCATGTTCAACAACCAGAACGTCGGCGAGCGCGGCGTCAGCAGGCCCTTCATCGTCGCCCTCATCCTGCTGCTGCTGTTCCTGAGTACCACGCAGGACTGGGGGAAGGCGCCCAGCGGGGGCAAGAAGCCGGAAGGGACGGGGGCCAAGGGAGGCGCGGTGGTGTCGGAGAGGGTCAAGGAGAAGGTGAGCGGGACGAGGGCTACTGTTGGGTGGATTGGTACTTAATGGGCTGGACTGCCCTCTTCCAAGACCTGGTCCAGGTTGTTTGGCTGAGCGGTGGGAGATCCCACCCAGAGGTACCCGGTTCGATCCCGGGTCAGACATCCTCCTGGCCGTCCGCACTTCAACAGCTACCCTCGGGGCTGTCCCAGCTCTGTGATCTCGTTGTGGTGTTTCATTGTGGTGTTTGACCCTGTGATTTCGTTGTGATTTGGTATTGTTTGGGCCTGTCACGGCGCCTTGAAGGGGATGACGGGAACAGAGCGTTCGCGACTGGCTGTCCGTGAATGGACTGTCGCCAAGGCTGTCTGCATAAAGGATGGGGTGGCGTGGGAAGTTTGAATGTGCGGGGTTTGTGGGGGGCCAGGCGTGAAGAGAGGAGCAGCAATCGAATCAAACAAGCCCCAAATTCCACAGAGGGGGGGAGGGGGGGGAACCAGAGCTCTCCGGGCAAGTGTATCCAAGAGATTGACGCACGCAGCGAACGGTGCGGCGGGTGCCTGCAGCATTGAGCCGTTGTTTCGGCCTCCCAACACGCCGATCAGCGGCGGTTCATTGCCAAGTCGCCGATTCAGGAGTGTGCCAGTGTGTTTTTTTGGCAGTTTGTGCAGGTCCTCTGATTGCCCTTTGCATAGTTGGAGAATCTTGCACATTGCACCTTCCCTTGCACCCTCAAGGCGATCAGGGAGTGTGGCTCAAGTAGAGCATGCGGCAGGAGGTGTTGACACATATGGGGTGGGAGGGCACTGAACAAACAATGGAATACGATCAGCAATACTGGTCTGGAATTCGTGCCCAGCATCGCCTCTAAGGTGCAAGGGCAGTGTTTTGTCATATTTATGCGACAAATGTTATCAAAGGATTTGAGGGGTGAGAGGATGAGGCCTTTGCGTTCTGGTGCAGATGGCACTGTACAAAAGGATCGAGACCAGGGCTTGCAAATATGGGTTGCCTGGTTTTGTCACATTAGAGGGGGCCTTTGAGTTCTAGCTAGCATTCTGCCCCATCTTGTGTCCATAAATCTGGAAGTATATCCCCAGAGGCTGGATGCATCCCAACCTGTTGCAGAAGTTGTTGTGGTGATATTTTGAGCCGATGATGCTGTGTTTGACTTGCATTAATACTGCTGCACGTGGGATGCAAGTTGAAGTTAGCTGGAGATCTTTCCGTAGAGCAGGACTGCAGGAAACTCAAATAGGACTGGATTAGATCTCAGCGGAAGAAATTTAACCTCTATACCAAGGTTTGTATGAAGTGGGTGCATAAATGCCAGCACAACAGCTCACAATCACCCAGTTAGGAGCACTGCAAAGTACCAAAAATAAGATACAGATGCCAGCCATAGCAATGTGGGGGATAGTTGCAAGCTGAGCTAATGCTGTTGATCACGTAGCCCTTGTCACCCTTTAGGGGTGGAGGGGTGACGACTTGCAGCAGGTGCAACTGTGTGGAAGCAGACGATCAGTCACTCAGGTCAATGAGTGGCAGACATGTAGCAACGTGCAGCCCACAATGGCACACACTCAAGTGCCCCCCCAGTTTTGGGGAATTTAGGATAAGAAAGTGGGACCACAGGAGAAACATACAGTGCACCAGCTCCAAAGTTGGGCTATTTGTGCCTCTTGTTCTATTCATTCTTTTGACTTTCGCATGAATAAGAAGACCTGTGTCGCATAATTTGACAGCTGTATCCCCCAAGTCACTTGTCCATGTGCGAATGGTTTTTGCTGCACTACAGTCGGTGTTTTGCAAGCAACCACTCTGACACATCGCTTTGCCGATTCGAATTGCAGATAATCTACGACTTGAGTGTTCAGAACGAAAAGCTAGAGGTGAGATACACCACCCATCAGGGTATTGGGCAGCTTTATTGACAGGTTGCTGGATGGCTGCGAACTATCGCTGCGCCCTTTCACATTTTGTTGACCCACCTGTTCGTTCTATTGTTTCTGTTGTTCATCGCATCTAAATGTCCAAATATCTCCCTGTGGACTGCAAGAGAGATTGGGGCCTTGCAAGTAGGCACAAAACGATGCGAGCACAAAGCTTGATCACATAAAGAGGGATGCCCAGCCTCAAGAGGAGAACGTGATCACTCCGGAGAGAGTGTCGCCACAACGCTTTGCCATCGCTGCACTCAACAATTTGTATTAATGATGGCGCCTGTGATGGACGTCGCCCCATGGATACTTCTCCGCTCTGACGCTGATGCCTGAACACAACGTTTCACATTTGACGCTTCATAAACTGGTGCCCTAAAGTTGAATTTTCGATGGCCGACACCTGGCCCTGGTGTTCGACGGGAATTACAAAATAGTTAGATTTTGGTCAAAAAGTGAAAGTTCTTAGGTGTAGCGCGTCATGCGGGTGTTTGATCCTTGACCTGGCATTTGGTGTTTGGTGTTGCTGACGCTTGGTTTGCCGTGCAGCGGGAGAACGCACGCCTGAGGCAGCAGGTCCTCGACACACGTCGCGCCTTCAGGGCGTGCACCAGGGGCGAGAACGGTACTGCCATACTGGAAGGCGCCGGCTGGCCGCTGGAGGAGGACCCTCTGGCTTTGAACGAGACCCTGCCGGGCGATGGCGATGGCGATGGGCATGGGGATGGCGATCGCGCTGCAGTTGGGGATGGCGACCCGGCGAGGTGATGACATTGGGCAAGCACCATGCGCGATGCGGGCTATATCGGCTTTGTAATCTTGTAAATTATGGGCGCGCTCTACATCTGTCTACTCGCCTTCCTTGATTGAACAACGGGGACATCGCACGCTCTCTCGAACCGTTTGGTGCCGTGTCCATTGAAGTTCACCAGTGTGTGGTTGCACACTTGTGTGAGGCATGCCGGCCGCCACCGATATACTACTGCTTGGCAAACGTAGTAGTGGTGATATCGTGCCGCTTTGCAACGAGTGCACCCGCCCCATATCTCTCCTGCCGCTCGCCAACATATCTGCTCGCCTTCATTCACGATCATTGCGATCATTGCGTATGGCGGATTGTTGATCCGCCATTGCAGGCTCGAGACCACGGACGGACACCAGCCACACGCGGCGCACACGATGAACTCCATTTCCCCCAAGTCGTGACGTTCGGAGTCCTCGCACCTTGGTCCTTATGCGCCTGCAGTAGCGAGCCAGCCACCGTTGGTTCGAGACGCATGCCACTGTCCGTTGTGACGGCCATGCGTCCAATACCCAGGGTGGGCCCTGCGAAGAACACAGTTCCCGGAGAAGCTGGCCACGGCAGTTCGCGTCAATGTACAGCAGCTCCGAGGATTGGAACTGCACGCAGCAAGCACACGACGCCCACGTCGAAACTTTTACAGAAGGATATTTGAGGCGGCATTTGACGCGACATAATGTCTCAGCAACTCAGCATCCTTTTATTCTCCCCTCGCACTCCGTGGCCAACGGGCTCCGTCTGCATGTGGTGGCCACACGGAGTGCGATCAACAGCAAAATGAACTGGGGGAGCGGCTGGTGTGTTCCTGAATCAATAAAGAAATGAGTGAAAACTAACGCTGTTATGTCGCACGCCACATGGCATGTGCCATGAGCGCAGAAGGCGCGTCCTATCGAAGCAGCCCCGCAAAGCACTAGTTTTTCTGGATCCGATTTCGGCAGACCAGTCCAGTACATTTCCTAACCTAAGCCCCCACAGTTTCTTTTGCATCCAAAATTGTTACGTCCTGCTCTCCAATCGGGCTCGCCCAGTATGCAGTCAAACAGTCTTCAACCAATTTGCGTTCGCGCCTCCGTGCTCTCTCTGGCGTCGTCCCCTCCCGAGCGCGATTCACGGAGGCCCGCCACATTGATGCTACGCATCCCCTGCAACGTCTGTGGCTGCCCTTGCAATGTCAAGTCAAAACGTGATCGTTGTTGCTGACAACCGCGTGCCTCCGCGCCTGAAATAAACCCAACGCTCCTGCCACTTGTCCAGAATTTGTGCATGCTTTCCAACGAGGAAACGGGTCTCCAGCACCTCACATTGTGCGCGGACGCCCAGCGCCCGTGCGCATCCACGCAACGCTGATTGCATTGTGCGCCAATCCTTCCTCAGCACTCCGAGCGTCCCACGACGCACCCCCACCCATTCCACCCATTCCCCCATCTCCCCCTCCGCCGAGCAGGGTTCAATGGCACATTTGATCGCGAAATATAGCGGTCCATTCCATGACGGAATTTCGGCGACCCATTCCTGGACCCACTTTCGATTGCCCGACCCGGCAAATTCAGAGCCTCAGTTCGCACACCAGTCGTAGTCCTCTGGGTAGGGCGGTATCGGCAAGCCTTCCAACAGGCTGCAGGGCCCCGACTTGGTGTAAATGATGCCCCGGCGGGCGTCCTGCCGCTCGCGGATCCACGATATCACCTTGTTCATGAGGCGCTTGGAGGACAGGGAGGCGGTGGACGCCACGCTGTGGGCCACAGTGGAAGCCACGCTGCCGTCCTCGCTGCGGCAGTGCCCCACGCTGCCGTCCTCGCTGCAGCAGCTGTCGGCGTCCTCGGCGCCGGATGTGCAAGCCTCGCTGGTGCCTGTAGGGTCCAACAGCCCTGTCAGCAATTTATTGTTTTTTCAATGCTTTAAATGCTATTAATTTATATTTGTTTAAATTAAATTCTTTAAATGCTCAATCAAGAAACCCACTCTTGGGCACGGCGGGCACATCGCCGTAGCGCCGAGTTTGGACGAGAACAAATAATGAGCGTGGAGATGCTGGCTTCAGAGTGCAACCGCGGTGATTTGTCAGAACTTTCTTGCAAATGCAATCAAATGATGCAAGCTGCGGTGCTGAGCAACGAGGGCGGAGCACTCTCAGAGTGAATGGTGTCGAATCAACCGGCGGGCGCGACGCTGGCTGTTGTGATCGCCGACAAGTTTGCCTCGACTTTCCGTGATGTTTTGTGTTTTGGGAGCATTGTCATTTCGTAATTTGGAGAGTCCAGTTCGATACCTTTCCACTTTGGAGGCCAAGGCGGACTGGAAAGGGCAACACTACAGACAATGGGCACAGAAGTCTCTTTCTGGGGAGAACCGCGTGGGAGAACGCTCGCCCCACTTCGCCAAATGTTGCCGGGCAGCACGGCCTCCCGTTTGCAGAACGGGGGTGGGAGGTGGTGGGGTGCCAATCAGTCGGCGTGTCGCCATTGTTGTTACGGTCAGCGTCACCGCCCTGAGTGAATTCGTCACGCCACCGCATAGGCGCACGCATGCCGGCCGCTCGCCGCCGGCTGCCTTCTTACGAGGTCTAGCGAGCGGACACCGCTCGCTGAGGAGCAAAAGGCGACGACGCGTGCGGGCGCGGCGACATGGCCGCCATGTCGCCGTGCACGCAGATGCGAACTAGATCCGCAGACGGAAGGAATACGGTAGCGTCTCATGGCACCCATTGGGCGGGCCGCCAGCGCCGGGCTTCGCTTCAGAAGCGACGAAATGAGCCGAAGAGATTGGGCGGGCACTTCTGTCAGGGTTGCCAGCCGAGCAATGTGCAGCGACGCGGGGGTTGGCCTCGTCTGCGTGCGCAAGCGCCCGACACGCTGCTGCACAGCGAGCAGGAGGCCGTGGACGGCTGCCGGTGAGCGGCCCCGTGCGCGGCATGACCACCCCGCAAGGCACTCGAAACGCTGGAAAAGAACGCAGGCGCCCGCTCGACAGGCAGGCTGCCCTGGATTGTCCCAGCCCGCCGCCGCGTGTCAAGGAATGCTGGGTATTCATCGCCCCCACACCAGCGGCGGCCGCGAAAACACGAGCCCGGGGCCACCGCCAGCCGGGGCGAGCCGCATCAACGCCGACTTCCACGCCATAGAGACGCAATGCTCCCTTGCCATGCCCCCTCGTCGTCGCCCGTGCACCCACACAAGTTACCGGCGGGGGCTTCCCGGCGCCACCAGGGCTCGCGACTCACCGTGCCACCTGCCGTCCCACGCGCAAAGCAGCCGCTCCCACTCTGACTGCGCCCGTCCGCCCTCCCCTGCCCGCCGCCGCCACCACTCCACGGCGTCTCCCGCCGCCCCTCGCCGCATCAGGGCCCTTCCGCCCGCCCCGAAGATGTGCGCGACCATCGCCCGTCGCTCCCAGCCCGCTCGCGCCCCTTTCCCTCAGTCGCGGCAAAACGTCGCGAGATGCCGCGCGGCAACGACTGCAGAAACGACCGCCGCAGCCGAGCGGCGGCAATTTCCGCCCCGGCTTCGAGCCGCTGGGCGAATTCCGGTGCGCCCGATGGGACGAACTTCGGTACAGCGCGAGCGGCCCGGCGAGTCGAGTCGCTGACGGCTCGCTCTTCCCGCTAAAAGCTTTCTGTCGGTCCCTGTCGCGAGTCGGAACCCCTTTGGGCTCGCTGCGTCGCGGTCGTGGAGCCCTTCGACAGGCCAGGCCGCTGACTGGCGGCCCCGTGTGCTCCTTGGGAAGATCTGGTGGGCCGAACGGGGGGCACTTGTCCAGGGGAAGTACTGGCGCGAAGTACGGCGATTAGTCAGGAGTACAGGGGTGGTTGGTCCTCGGAGTGGGCGAAGGGTCGCGTCCACACAACCCATGAGAACATTGCAGGAAGGGGACGAGATGCTTGAGGTACTGAGCTGGTGGGGGGGGAGTTGAGATACAATCAGGGTACATGTTCTCGCTGCCGGCTGGGAAATGCGGTATGATTGGACTGAAAAGCAACCCGAAGCTGTCATGTTGGGTTGCCGCGACGCGAGCAGCTGCCCCACCGTCGTTGTGTGTTCAACGTTGTGACGGGTGGCGCTCCGCAGAGCGCCCCGGTACTGCGTGTCCCGCTCGCCATGACGAAGTGACTCGCCAGACCTTTTCGCAGTGGCGACGATACGCACCGAAACCAGTGGAGTGTGTTTCTCCGCTGCAGTGCCAATTCGCCCCCTTGTTTCCGTTCACGCTTGCCTTGTTGCAAAGATGCTTCTCAGGATGCACCGTGATCAGCAGCCTCTTCTAGGGAATTACGAATTGGTGGATTCTGCGTTCAGTGGTGCTGCGTTCGATGAACACAGCATGGACAATGCCCTTCCTGGGCGAAAGAGGGAGCTGACAGCCACCTCCTTGCCTTGTTCTGTGCCTTTCTTGAATTGAAGAAAACAAAAGCGCATGTAATGCATTACATCATTTAATGAACGAGAGAACTGTTGACCGGACGCCACTGCATCCTCCACACCGCCCAGTCAGGCCCTTCGTTTCAGAATCAACCTGGTGCATGGTAGCCGTTGTCTCAACCCCAAGACGTCAAACGACTTATTCGATTGTTTGGCACGCCCCTTATTCCTCCCACGATCCCCATGGTTCGGCCAATCAACCGAAAACGATGACTGGTCCAATTATTACACCAGGATTGTGCTCCGATTTGAATCCCTACCTCAATCCACACAGGTTCCCCCAAATCTGCAAGTCTGTGATATATGACATCGAACACATGCCAGCTGCCCCCGCAACAGCATCAGGCCGGTACAAGACGCGGGGATCCCAACCGCCTGGCTGGCTGCCATCCCGCAAAGAGGGTGAAAATCATGTTCGTGTGTGCATAACTTCTTCAGAGCAAGCAACATCCCGGTCTGCCTGGTATCTACTGCTCAGAACCTCCAGCCTACTGCCTTTCTCACCACACCGGCCTGAGCGTCGTGCGTCCAGCCCCACCATCAAACACAGCGGGCACTGGCATTCTGTCAACGAGGACTGAGCCCCTTGGTTTCAGGAACCTTTGCCTCCAGCAACTCATCCAATCACTGGAAACTTCACAAAGGCTGTTCGGGCCAACTCTCAGGAGCTGTCTGGCGCCTCACCCTTCCACACGGCGCGTCAGCGGCAAGGTGGTGACACCACCACAAACACGTCTACAACTAAGAACTGCAACTGATGACTTTTCTAGGATCCCCTGCCACGTCGTTCTCCAAACAACGACTTGATCCTGCAGCACAATCAAGTGGTCATGTCAGCCATCCTGCAAACACCAGCTTAACGTGCGAACCCCAGCATTGTGTTCAGGAGCAGCAACAGCACATGCACAGCAACGATGGTGGCTCTATGACCACTTGAAACCAGGTCGACTTATTGCAGGAACACGGTTTCCAGTTCACACATCATGGCACAGACAAAGCCCTCCCAATGGTACTGCTGCACGGGGCAGCCACTTACTTGCGCATGGACATAGGAAATGGTGTGCATGTGGGCATATGAAAGCCCGGCTCTGTCCATTTCTGTCCTGGCTGGCCATTGGGCCTCATGTGCCCGTGGCTCCCCTGGCCCGGCAATGGAGACCGCGCCTGAGGGTAACTACTGCTTGATGCGATGCCCCCGCCGAACTCTTGCCTCTGGTAAGGTGGGGGACTGGAGCGGGAGGCAGGCACGCCATACTGCGATGCAGGCACGCCATACTGCGATGTGGGCACACTGTACTGCGATCCTGGCAGGCCGTATTGTGACTCCTGACGTTGGCTGGGCGCCCAGTGGGGCTCTGGTGACCTCCCGCCCCCTCGCAACGGGCTTGGGCTCTGCCCCCGCCCTTGCCAGCTGGCCATTGGCTCGCGTTGGAAATCTGGGCTGACAGCGCGTGGAGGGGATTGAGGCACCTGCGGCTCTGGCTGGAATGCCTGCTGAGAGTCGTCCGGCCTTGGGCTGACCACCCTCGGGGGAGACTGTTCCCGAATGGGCTTGCGGGTGGGTGCGTTGGGCCGGCGGCTCTGGTCCCCTCGGTAGGCCTTCAGGTTTAAGTCCCCCCCTTCGTCATTTTTCCCCGAGGGGCTCGGCCGGTGCTCCTTCATGGAGTCCATCCCATCGAAGGGGGATGCGCCCAGCACGCGGGGTGAGGGGCTGCGGTCGGGGCGCATCCGGAGGCCCTCGCCACTCACACGCGTCAGCACCACCCCCTGCTCACCCACATCTCTGGGGCTCCTGCTCACGCCCAGCTCCCTGGGGCTCCTGGTCATGGCCTCCCCTGCTGCAGACGCGTAGGGACTCCTGGGCATCCTGTCATCAGGGCCCCTTGGACGGTTGTCCACGGTGATTCTTGGACTCCTGAACTGTGTCGGCCTGCCGCCGTGTGGGGACCCCCGTGTGGGCGTGAACTTTCTACCTGGCTTGCGCGGTGTGATCCTAGCATGCGGCTCCTCCCCTTGTGTCAATTTGACCTTCAGATCGGGCCTGCCCTGGGCGTCATTGCCATGGCTGGTGAGCTCCACGGGTATGAAACGCTCCTTGGGTGGCATGCTCTCCAGCTCTTTCTTCAGCAGCTCCATGAAATGCTCCGTTTCGGTGGGGGTCAGCCCGAATTCCTCCTCGAACTCCTCGGCCACAGCATTCACCGTGTCCAGCTCCACGTCGAAAGTGAACTTGAAGCGCCTGAAGTCCGCGCCCTCGTTCTTCATCATGCAGAGCTCGAAGTCCAGGGTGGAGCCCTCGGCGCCACGCTGCTGCACACTGAAGGTCCGGGACAATGGCAGCGGGGCGCTGGGGTGCCTGAGCATGGGGCCTTGGTCGGGTGAGGAGCTCACGCTGCGGTTCAGTGACGTCGTGCTGGGCTGCCTGTCAAGCTTCTTGGGGGCACTCTTGGTGTTCAAGGAGCTCGGGGCGCTGGGAGGACGGGGCAGCATCTCTGGCCTCAGGGGCCGAGAGGAGCCTGTGCTGAGGCGCAAGGATCCGCTGTCCTCGATGCTGTCCCTGCCGCTCTCCTGGCCGCTGTCCGACCGGCTGTTCAGTGCTGCTGCCCGGCTGTTGGGGCGCTCGGGGCGCACGTCATCAAAGAAGGGGTGCTTGATGAGCTGCCTTGCGTGCGGCCGCCGCTCGTGGTAGTGGTCAATGCACAGCTCGATGAAGCTGCGCGTTTCGGTGTCCTCTATCCTCTGCAGGGCTGCTGGATAAACACCCTGTGGCACGAGGATACGTAGAGAAGCTTGACTTCAGGCAGCACTTGGGTGGGACAATATAACCACGAAAAAAATTGCTACACCCATTGCAGTGGCGCCCTTTGTGTCCCTGGTTCTGCATTGTTGCGCCTTGACATGCAGCTGCACTTCGCTGCTATCAAGGAATGTGTCTTTGCAAAAAACTAAATGTGCAACTTGCAGCAATTTTGTGCCCATCAATCCCTGCCAGACTCGATTCCACACTGCAGAGATCAGTCTTCACAGTCATACAGCTGCCTATTCATACTCCAATCATGCACATGCATTTATGGGTGTATGTCATAAAATTGTTGCAGGCAACAGTGCATTCCCCCATTACTTTACTTGGGCGCTCACCAGTGTGACCTGGCGAAAGATCTGTGCCTTGTTCTTGCATTCTCTGTAGGGGAACTCCATCGTAACCAACTCCAGCAGGCACATTCCAAATGAATATATGTCAACTTTCTCGTTGTACTTTTCACGGTACAACTCAGGAGCCATAAATTCAGGCGTTCCTGTCCCACAGCAGAAGTCAGATGTGCATTTTCACAGTCACGACTTGTAGGCACAGTTGCAAATCAACTGGTAAACTCCTTGGGGTGCTATCTTTCTGGTTCCAACAGATTGTCTGGCTGCTGCCTTGTGCAACAGGCATCTTGTGTGATAAGCGAGAGCTGGAATATTAAGGAGCAGGCTGCATTAATACTCTGAAAAAGAATACACAGGAGACAAGTCACCTTCTGGCACTTTCTGCGTTCTCTAACAGAAGTCAGCAGGGATAGTACAGGGATATTACTCCAACAAGTGTGTTCAAAACGACCTGAGCCTTTTCCGTCCAGAAGACTTCTTGTTTGGCAGAACACTGCTGTGCCAATCAAGTTGAGGCAGCCTCAGCCGGGTTAGGCAACAGAACTCACGAATGGGTGGTGGATTTCAATTCAATTGATTGCGCACAGAAACATGCCCTGGCAGCACAAGAATCGTCTCACAATGCCTTCTGCAGGATGGTGTGCTATCTGCATTGTGAGGTCCTGGGCTGCAACAGTGCGGGAGGCCAAACGTACACTATACTCTGTTTGATTCATCGATGAGCACATGATTTGTCACTGGTGACTTATGGGATGCTGACTCTAAGATGGTCCAAATTTAATCAAGGGTTGCGAATCCCGGTACAGCCTACAGTCCACAAGCCACTCATCTTCACAACAGATGTATCTGGGGAACACCAGGGCCATTTTCCATTTCTGACTGGCCTTCAACAGCCCACAGTGCGTTTGGCATTGTGGAGAGTTGTCTTTCAGCAGCACTATCCAACACAACAAACCACCAACAGGCGATGATTTTCAGGACTGCAACAGAGTGTTCCTACGTTTGGGGTGGCAGCACCAGCCTGGCACAGTCCATCTCATATTATGCATTGTGAATTAGCCAATGAACTCTTTAGACCATCAAGATGTTTCACAAGCACCCACTAGCGGGCCTGGAATGGGTATGCGGGTGGCGAGGTGCCTTGGATGCTCATGGGTTCAGGGCTTTAGGGCGTTCCGCAAGGGCTTGGGGGCTTTAAACTCCCGTAATAGGGCACTGCTTGCAAACACACTCCCCCATTCTTCCATTCAACAATGGCACCACCACCCGTTATTACCACCCGTTCCAACATCTTCGGCCGTTTATGGAAATTGACCTGGAGGGCAGGCAGATCAAAATCCGGAGCTACGCAGGTGGAGACGTTGGGGATGTCCAAATTACCACTCGGAAGGGACGCGGCGCCCAGATGGGCGCAGGGGGGCCACCGCGATGGAATGGGCAACGGCGAATCGCGGCCGGCCGGCAGGGTACGGGCAAAAATAGGCGATGCACAGGTGCGATGCATAGTTAGCGAGCGCCTCGGGGAGAACCCACGGCACCGCAGCGTTACCCAGAAACAACACCACAGCCGACGACATGCGCTGCGCGCGTGCTGACCGCCGAGCCGATTCAAATCCCTTGATGCACACGGTACACAGTGCACATGGGATGAAATGGAATGGGACGAAGGCTTTCGGAGTTTCAGGACTTTGGGGTGACGGGTTGCGATCGCCGCCGCCAGTCGAGGATTCAAGAGCGCTGGCGCGATTGTTGTGGACGGCGCGCCGCATCCTCGGGAGATAAGTGGTGCCAGTGGCTGTCAACACAGGCCTCAAAAGAGACCAAAGGAGGATTGCAGCTGGTGAGTCGCAAAATGCTTGGCCCCAGGCCCGATCTCAAAGCGCTTATCCGGTCGCGGTGACCAAAAGGGAGCCAATCCCTTGAGGTCCATTCGCCGCAATGTTCAGATTCACCAGCCCGTTTCTGAAAGACCCCTTGGGCGACGGCGCCGCGGCCCGACAAAACGTCGGGGGTCAGGCGCAAGCACAACGTTGCTCCCCCGGGGCCGCCGAAGGCCGGGACTGCCGCAGTAGTTACCGCGTAACTGACCAGTGCGTCAGGCCAGTCAACTGTCCGCACGTCGGTCAGGCGACGGCAGGATTCGTCGCGCGGGTGCGGGGGGCGCGCTTCCGGGCGGAGGAATCGAGGAACCCTGGAAGTTTGGAAGAGCGCGATGGGAGCCGGAAGTGAGGCGGAGTCCAGCGGTACACTAATTCCCAGGGGACAGTTCGATGTTCTTGGAATGGTCCCACGCGGGCCAAGGGCCCTGCCAAGGCATTCGCGAGCCACTCGCATCGAGCGGTCCCCGAATTCTGTGTTGCGACATCCGGTCCTTGCTCACCCAGGACGCTCTGGCAGGTGGACAGGCCCTCCTCCATCAATTTGGCCAGCCCCAGGTCGCCGATCTTCACGGAGCCCGTTGTGCCGTGGATGAAAATGTTGTCGCACTTGAGGTCGCGGTGGATGATGGGCGGCATGTGCCCGTGGAGGTAAATCAGGCCCTCCAAAATCTGCCACGCCCAGCGCTTGAGCACCTTCCTCGACAGGTGCTTGTGGTTGCGGCGGTGCCTGGGGTGCGGGGGGGGGGGCACAGCAAGCCGCCGGTCAGCCCGGGCACGCACCCAACCTCCCGCTGAACCCAACCGGACGATGCCAGCCACCCGCCAGGGGGCCGCAATATAGGCAGCCCCGAGGCGCGCAGCCGATGTTGGCCTTGCCGGGCTGGCCAACGCGCCCCACCCCCCGCCAGGCCACGTCTACCCGCACCCGGCCCCAAACGCCCACACCGCAGGAGCGCAAAGCCACAGTCGCCGCCTCATCGCGACGCTCGCTCGCCCCCACGACCACATCTGCGCCACACGCCTTCCATCTTGCCAGAAGAAGCCATCTCAACCCAGCAGATCGGCGCCCCCGTTGCCCCCCACCCCCAAACCCACCTACGCAGCGGCCCCGGGTGGAAATACTCCGTGATGAAGTTCAGCGTGTGCTGCTGCTGGTCAATCCACGAGGCGTAGAAGGACATGATGTTCCGGTGCTTCAGCCGGCTGAGCACCGCCACCTCCGACTGTAGCCGCCCGTGCTCCTTGGCCGTCAGGTGCTCCACGATCTTCACCTGGTTCCAGGCCACCTCGATGCCCTGCTGCCTGTCGAACCCTTTGTACACCACCTTCGACGCGCCCCGGCCCAGCACCTGGTTCGACTGCGCACACCCACAAAGGCTCACCCCACCCCGCACCGCTCGGCCACCACCGCACCGCGCATCCCAACCCAGAAATCCCCACGCCACCCCGCCCAACAAGCCCGATCAGCCCGCCGGACCGACTCGCAGCCACCCCGCCCAACCGGAGCCGCATTCTCGCCACCCACCCGCGTGAACCGCCCCGTGGCGTCGGTCTCCACGTCCACCCATGCAGCCTTCGCCGCGGAGCCTTTCTTCCTCGCCTTGGTGGCCGCGGGCATGGCGTCAGGCGCCCTTCGGCCCCCTCCCAGGCTCCGCCCCACCCTCCCCGCGCCCAGTTGCGGACCCCTCCTCGCCGCGCGCACCGCCGCTGGGCATCAAGACCAGGCGGCCCCTGGGAACCGCGGTGCCGCAGCGCCTGATGGCCTCCGCCCCGTCAATCCCGAGAAAACTAAATGCAACGGCTGGCCTATTTTTCAGTGCCACTACGGCCCCCCTGATCCCCCTGACAAAGGCGCTTGGGGCTGATCCTCCTGGGAGGGCTGATTGGGCACACAGCTGGCGGGCGGGCGGCCGGAGAACGGGCCGGGAGCGCCAGGCCGTGCCAGTCCGTCATGCGACTCCCGTCGCCGCTGGCCGATTAAATCTGCGGCGAACGCGACGCGCTGCAGTTCGCCGCCACCTGGCTGGCTGGGGCGTCAATCGCGTCACGTTGTGCGGCGGGGGGCCGTCGGGCTGGGCTGGCTTGTTGGCGGTTGATCGAGATCTGGGTCGCACGGTCATGTTGTGCGCACGGCATGACGCGTCCAGGGGCAAGACGCGGTGCGGGGGTGCGCAACGCGACCCCCATGACGTGTTTTCTGTCGATGCTTTGAGCGTTGGAACCTCCGCGTGGCGGTCGGCGTGTGTGTAGCATCTACCGACGTACCTCTGCCGTGTCGAACGGATGCAGTCCAGGCTGTCCTGCTGCAGAGCCGTAGATGCCAGACCAGCCAACTCTCCGGGGCTGATGGGCAATAAGGCGGTCCCAATGTTCGGGAGACACCGCGGTCGCTTCCTTACCCGTAGGCGAAACGGGATACGGCAAGGGAAACAGGGATGGAGTCGCAGTTAGAAGAACACACAGTCAACGTTCAAAGTGGTGGGCCTATGGTTGATTGTGCCGCCTTACACGGACTGTTTGTCTTATATACAAGACCAACTCCCATATGCTGCGTCCCCAGGGAGTTGTCACACCAGAAAGCAGTACGAAAGAACCTTCTATATCCTAGCGTACCAATCGCTGACAGCCAATCCACACCACAATCCCTAGTTGAGCCCTCTGCACGATACTCCCGACTCCCTGACGCACTGAAATGATAACTTCTAGATAGAAGTGTCTACTCCCGGATAGTATGAAGTCACCTCTCCATCCACTCACGTTAAAACTGCCATTAGTCATGAGCACCGGTACATCAAAGGCGGGCTCATGACCAACATAGGGCAGCTGACTGGGCCACTATCAAACAACCAGTCAGGGTGAAAGTGAAATAAAAAGAGAAACCAACGAAGAAAAGAACAAATGTGTGTTATATAAAAAGAACAAGGGAGAGCTATGATATATACAACATATTAAGAAAACATCATATGGTCGATATGCTTTCGTGATTTATAATGCCTAACATGTTGCCTGTGTTGTTGTGTAAACTACTAGGGGTAGCCGGTTTACTCCAATTATTTACTGGGAAGTGATAATTGACATGAGATTGTACCTAGATGGGACAGAGGAGGCTGTTAGCTTTCCATAGGTCTTTGAATCATCCCAAACGGGTTAGCGGTAGTGGAGTCATGGCTTATAAAAATTCCAGTACTTAAGGTTGGGCCCCTACCGTATTCGGGGATGAGATACTATCGATACGGGTACATTCGATACACTGTTCTGTTGGTTGTGTACCGCTGCGTGCGGGGGTCATGTGACCAGCCCCGCACGTCAGCCTGTAATTCCATTGTGCCCACTCTCGCCTCCCAGCGGCTGCACCCGCAGGCCGCAAGGCGCCGCGCGCACCCACTGCGCGTACGGCCGCCCCGCGCCCGGCCATTCTGCAGGCCTGGGCCCACACTGCGCATCCGAAGATACGAGCGCCCCGCAAGGCCCGCCGGCCATCCGGCGGAGGGGGCCCCGCGGCCCCATCGGGCACCTCGGTGGGCGCATCGCCCGCGAACACACCGAAAACCACGCCATGTGTGATAGTTGTAAAAGGAAGACCGAGTAGACAATGAAACAAGTGACTATCCTTTAGTGGCTGCCTAGCTCTAGACACCTTAAGGAGTATTAATAATATATTATTAAATTCGCCGTTAGTCATGGCACCTGTGACGTGGCTGCTTGGGGTTTAGGCTTATTTGACATTTCTGGAGGGGGAATTACGTAATTAACTAAATCGACCTTTGAGTGTTATTTACAGCTTCCTGGTTTCAACGCGCCTTTAAACGCCCAATTCCGTTAAGAATTGACGAAGATATGACCTCCTGAAGTCGTAGTACTTTGGGACAGGGGGTCGGGTGTTCGATGCTTGGAATTAGAGGGCATTAGGTCGATCGTAGGTGAACGGTGGACGGTGACGATGTGCCTGAACGTGCACCTGACTTGTCTTGTCTTGATGTGACAGCGATGGACCCGCGATGGGCATCGCGCATGCGGATTTGTGCGCGCGCATGCTGTGAATCGTGTAATCCGTTCTTGGCCCACTGCTTGGTCTCTCCGCGACCAGCGAGCCACCGACCGGCTGCGCCACCACCCGCCACATACAGTAGGCCCCGGGGGACGATCCTCATCGTTCTGGGCCCACCGCGCATCCGAGGGAACGAACGCCCCGCTTCCGCCTACCGAAATCGGTGGAGAGGGCTGGCTGACATCCAACAACCAAGCCGCAAGGCGTGGCGACCCCACGAGCTTCGGAAACCAGCGGCGCCCTTCAAGGCCGCAACAAATTGGTTTCGGAGCTGACAACCCAGAGCCAGAAGCTGAGCAGCGAGCGCAGCATCCAAAGAGTGACCCGCAGCCTCCAAGGCTGCGATTTGAGAAGCCTCCAGCACCCGCGGCGGCGGCCAGCCACAACCAACGGCTGAATCGCCGTGCTGTGAGCTGCGGTGTGCATTGAAGAGCCAAGGAAGAGCATTAGCGTTGGGCGATTGAGTTTGGCGTGGGCAGAAGGTGGGCGATCGCCGAACCAGCGCATCCCAAGCAGTTGCATAGAGGATTCAGCGCTGGAATTCGAGCTGTGCCAAGCGCTCTACCCGCGGCTGAGCACGAGAAGGCCAGCACCCAGCAGTTGGAAGATTTTGTCAACCTCAGGTGCCACCCGCTGTAGAATAGGGGTGAAGGTCCCGCTCTAGAAGTAGGGGACATCTGCTGCTTCACCTTATTTTGCAGGTACTGCAGGCGGGTCACCACCTGACCGCTCTGCACCAAGATTGGGGGCCTGACTAGGGGAAGGGGGAGGAGATTGAGCACGGCAATAGGCAGGCCCATTTGGGTCCAGAGTGCTACTGCCTAGAGGCAGCATCTCCCCTGGAACCGGTCAGAGGGTGAGGCCATTGCCCACCTGAGGTAGACAGGCCAGTCACCCCTTCGGAACCTTGGGTGGCTGAGTCTTAAAACATTAGACAGGCTGGGGGTGCCATAGGCCAACCCAAACCTCCTACAGCGGTCTCGTCCCAAGCAAGGGACACCTTCTTAGGTTGTTCGGCTGAAGCTGGGACTAAGTTTTCATTAGTAGCCACAGACGCACCCTCTGGAAAGTTACCAGGTGGACCGAGAGGTCACCCTGCAGAGTACTGGGGGTAACTGTGTGTGAAAGTGATTACTAAAAACCAGTAGAAGCAGGATAACTTAAGTTGGGAGGTAAAGGCTGCTTGGCTACTTGGGGATAGGATTCAGTGGACTTTCAGTAGCCCGAGATCAGGTCTACTCCGATTGACTTCGTTTCAATATAGTTGATCATCGAATCAGTGTCGTGTGTGGGATCACGGCAGATCGTGATATGATGGAGCTGCAGGGCTATGATGGTGTGGAAGAAATTGACGGGACAGTGGAGACAATCGCCGGAGCTGGATGTGTGGGAGTTATTGCTGCGTCATATGAGGTGCGGCAACAAAGGATTCTAATTGCCGGGACAGAGCCGGGGGCAGTGGTTTTGGGAAGCCCAGAGGGAGCCCTGGTCTCCAGGACTGAAGCTGCACAGGGGATGCAGAACTTGGAGCAGCGAGCTGCACAGGCGATAGCAGGGACTGCTACTCAGACAGCACATGCCATGAATGTGCTGGCTGATCAGACGGCATCAGCAGTGCACCATACTACTCAGACATCTCAGAGGGCAGTTTCACATTTGGAGGGTCAGACCAGGGAGGCGTTTAGGCAGACTGAGATTGCTATGTCGTCAATGCATCGAAATGTCTCCAGCAATGCGGAGCGCCTTTCAGAGCTGGAGAATGCATTGGCACATAAGAGGCAGAGGAATTTGGATACTGAACAGAGGTTGAGGAGGGAACAGGATGCGACTGTCGAGCGGCTTACTCGACAGCTTCACGACGCTCTATCCAGGATTGATCAGCTGTCCGCGGACCTGGCCATAGAGTGGTCGCAAAAAGTTTCTCAGCCTCGTCAGCAAACTCTGCCTGGACCCCCCGAGCCACCAGCAGCAGTTACATATAGTAGACCTCCGCATTTGGAGTAGGATGTGGAGATTGTTGCTGATGCTGGCAATCAGACGATGCCACCTGCACAGACCAGCCATGCTGCCCGTCCAGGACGACAAAGGTCCAGATCACACAAGTCGCGGCATGCACGTTCGCCTAGTTCTGACACGACATCATCGAGCGAGTCATCGGGGAGGCGCACTCGCAAGGGGGCTGGGATTTTTGACGTCCAAATAAAACCAAAGGACCCTCCAACATTTTCGGGCAGGACATCTGAAGACCCGGAGGTGTGGTTGGGTCAGGTGTCGAATTTCTTTCGTCTGGTTGGAGGATCGCCTGGGAAACAAGTTGCATATGCTTCCACTCTGCTCCAGGGAATTGCACAGACCTGGTGGCAGAGAAAGTTAAAGGCGTGGGAGGACCCCAAGGATATGCAGACCTTTGGAGAGCAGCTGATCAGCCGTTTCCAGAACACAAACAAGGCTGATTCTGCCATGGCTGTATTGATGAACATCAAGCAGAGGAAAGAGGAGTCCACACATGATTTCATCTGTAGGTTTGAGGCTGAGCTGGATAAGGTGGACACCTACGATGAATCATAGGT